CTGGCCAGACAGTCAGCACCGTCTCTGGTACCAAGGCCTGTACAGTCGAGGAAGAAACCCCCTATACTGCGGAGGTTGACTTCCCCTCAGTCCTGGTCACCAAATAGGGCCTGTTTACCGTGGCACTGATCCTGGGGTGGCTCCTGTACAAGGCATGGAGGTTGTCTTCCCCTCAGTCCTGGTCACCAAATCGGGCCTGTTTACCGTGGCACCGATCCTGGGGTGGCTCCTGTACAAGGCAGAGTCTTCCCAGTGATCTGACTCCTTCCCAAAGGCACCAGTGTGGCACGGTACTACTCCCCTCTATGGTCTCTGCATTCCACCTCTGCATCCAAGTTGTAACCAGAGTCGCGCAGGTCCAGAAGAAGACACACTTGATACATCACCCAGGGAGGAGACAGGAGCTTTTGGTGTCATGGCCTCTTCAGTGGCTGGCACCACCTCCATGGCCCTTTTGAACCTCCTCGGCCTATCACGAAGTGCAGACTGTTGGTGGCCTCTGTCAGCAGGGGCACCCTGTCAGCAGTCTTAGGAAGAGAGCATGCCATAGGGGTACAGTCTTCTCAGCAGACTGCGTCTGGTTGCAGATGCCTGCAACTCAGCCATATGGAGTGCTTGTACAGTCCTAGTCAGTTCAGAGCCCCCAGCTGGGGCAACAAGTGGGCCTGTGCTTTGGGGTGAACTAATGGCACTGGGTTACTGGAGCACCCCCACACCCACTACTGTCCCTGGATAAGCATTTTGGTACTGGTGACCGTGGGCATGTGCCTTTGGTACCGGGCCTGGTGCTGGATACTGACTGAGGGAGGTGGAGTTTCTGGGGCTTTCCTCCACATTGTCTCTGGATGAGGCGATAGCTGGTTCCATGACGTTGTTGCCTCCTATGGACAAAAGGAACTTCTGAGGTGCATCTGAGTGGTTAAACACTGGAATAAGTTGCCTAGGGAGGTTGTGGAACCTCCATCTCTGGTGCTATTTAAGAGCAGGTTAGATAGATATTTATCAGGGATGGTCTAGACCCGTGGTCCCCAACCCGGTGCCCGCAGGCGCAATGGCGCCCACCGGGCCCTTTACATGTGCCCACGGAGCAATCTGGGCTGGCCCCGCCCCCGGGCATGTGGCAGGTGCCAGCCCCGGTCGCATGGCTGGCCCCGGCCCTGGGTGCGCCATGCGTGCCGGTGCCGACCCTGACCCCTGCCCCCGGGGGC